GTTGTTAGTGTTGTTGTTCTTGGTCGTGGTGTTGGCGGTGTTGTTGTTGGTGTTGTTGTCGTTGATAGTGTTGTTGTTGTTGTTGTTGCTGTAGTTGTAGTTGTAGTTGTAGTTTTAGCTGCAGTGGTAGTAGTAGTAGTAGTAGTAGTAGTAGTAGTGGTAGTAGTAGTAGTAGTAGCAGTAGTAGTAGTAGTAGTAGTTGTTGTTGTTGTTGCTGCCTTTTTGTTTATGTTGTTGTTGTTGTTGTTGTTGTTGTTGCTTTGCTTTTAGTTGTTATTGGTGGTAGTGGCAGTGTTGTGGCTGTTGCGGATGGGAACAGGAAGAAGCCAATAACTACTCCCAAGGTCGAAAGTGGGTTACAGTAAATGAGTGTAGCGTGACTTGAAACTAAACCCTAAACCCTAAATCCTAAACTCCTAAACGCCTAAACCCCTAAACCCTAAACCCTAAACCCTAAACCCTAAACCCTAAACCCCTAAACCCCTCAACCCCTAAACCCCAAACCCTAAACCGTAAACCCTAGGGTAGTACACATATTCTATCGATTTCTTTCGGGCTTGCAGACCAGCTGCTCCCTCAACAGACCTGGTACTTAAGATACGCTCACGTTCACGCGCATGCCTATCCCTAAGGGTCCAGGCACCCAAATAGTATATAGTTTGGCTTTAAAGTAGTCCTTTGGAGCCAAAGTATATACTATTTAGGTACATGAACCCTTAGGGTATATTGTATGTAACATAGCATATAACGTACAGACATATACATATATATATATATATATACACAACCTCTCTCTCTCTCTCTTTCTATCTTGTCTATCTGTGTCGTTGTCCGATTGTGAGTCTTCTACATGTTTACCGATGCTTGCTATGTTGCACCTGTTTCTGCATTCACTGATATGGCGCACATCTTACGACCTGGTAGGATCCTTGTAGCCATTCAGCTTTGAGGGCGTGAGAGATCCGGATGTGGTGTTTGGACTTAAGAAGGGTTTGGTCATAGAGGTGAAGTGGGTTTTTGGTTTAGGATTTCTGGGGCTGCAGAGCTCGAGTTAGGGTTTACGGTTTCAGGGCAAATTTCGATAGCGTTGAGAGCTCGAGATTTGGGGTTTAAGGCGCGCTGCTTTAGGGCTTAGGGATCTGTGGCCTGTCGTGTGCAAACTCGCATGTCAGAAATGAGGAATCGCCATATAAACCTTGAGAAGTAACCCTTGGAATGGAAACTTTCAGAAGATGCCACATTTCAAACAAATGAAATAAGCCCGTTTTCAAGCCCTACAAAATGACTAAACACTTGCACAACTGTTGACACAACCCTTCTAAAGTCCTGAACCCTAAGCCCCTAGTACCTCCTAAACTCTAAACCCCCCCCCAAACCTGTGTAGACCAAGGGGCACAGGCGCCACAAACTGCCAGCATGCCATCACTGCAACTGCCTCGGCTGAATCTTTCTGGGGTGTTGATTGTCACTCTACGGGGTTTTTCAGAGCTAAACATTGAGCATCGTTATTACGAGAAATCTACAAACACCCTTGAATTTGAACAAAGTCTCGAAGCCCAGCCAGAAGACAACGAACAAAAGGAGGATTTAGGGCTTGTAGTGGTCTAGCGATGCTCTTCGTGCTCCTTCAGCCTCTTCCTTCTTGCAAAGCCAGCCCAACCCTAAATCCTAAACCCTAAACCCTAAACCCTAGACCCTAATTAGACCCTAGACCCTAAAGCCAAGCTGCGCTGAGGCAGAGGCTCATCACCAAGCTGCGTCCACGTCGGACCATGGCTCCGAGAGTCTGGGGAGCTGAGAAGTGAGCTACTGTTGCTTGAGAGACGCGCCTCCTGAAACGGTTTAGAGCTTAGGGTTTAGGGTTTAGGGTTTTAGGGTTGAGGGTTTAGGGTTTAGGGTGTTAGGGTGTTAGTTAGGGTTTAGGGATTTAGGGTTTAGGGTTTTAGGGTTTATGTAAGGTTTTAGGGTTTATAATGTTGGAACCTGATTAAGAAGCCCTGGCGCCATAACCCCAAATAGGACTCATATAAAGAATCCTAATAGGGACCCCCAGCAGGGTTTCTCAATCAGGTGCCATTGCTGGCAGCATGGGCACGGACAGACAACTGCATGGCTTATACTGAAGGATATACAGTAACTCTCACTCTCACGGCTTGGGGTGCTTAAGGCAACGCGTGCTTAACTTTGCACATCAGCTCTATCAAGCATTAAGGCCACTATGCAAACTCAGCAGGCACTCCAGCAACCTTTTAAACCCGAAACCCTAAACCCTAAATCGTGGCTAACCCTAAACCCTAAACTTTTGACAATCGTAAACCCTGGACCCCCACTCCGAGGCCCATGCCCTCAATCCTAAAACCCTGGGTGCCCCAGGCCATCAAGCCAACCCTCAACCCTAAACCCTAAAAGGCACCGGAAAAAAAAGAAAAAGAAGAAAAAAAAAAGCAAAAACAACTAAATTTTTGAGAAGAACTCCCTAAAATCCTAAGACCCTGAAGCCCTAAACCCTAAAACCCCAAAACCCCAAAACCCTAAACTTCAAGACTCACTGCCTCCGAAAGCCTTGAGAACCCCGAGGCCCTCCTTAAGGAGTTTGTACAGGGTTTCTACTGGTTTAGGGTT